GAAGTGTTGTTCTTGGTGAAAGTGAGACGTGTGATTGCTCTCTTTCTTAATCTTCCTTCTCTACCCTGAGTATTTTTGCATCATGATTTGAGGGAAGCTATTCAAAATGAATTGCTTTCATTCTGCCAGGGGCTAAGATACAATCAGTTTTCCTCTTGAGCTTTTAATTGATAAAATAAAGGAAACCTAAGAGCCGGAGGAGGCCCAGCAAAGTGTTGTGAACCTGGGTTTAAAATGTTAGAATTTGGAGACCAGAGAGGATGTGATATTTGCCTTCACTTAGTCAGTTGGAAGATGTAAAGTACGTAAGAAACTAAATATTTCCTTATAGAAATTATACCTGCAATTCTGAGAACCACCAAGTGTAAAAAGCTATGCTTGTTAATAGATCCAGAACATTCTTGAACTGTTGAGAGGAACACTAACTTGAGATATTAATAAGATAACTTGATAATCTTAATACCTAAGAGAATAAAAACTTGGGAAAGAAGGAGTGTGTGGTCAAACCAGTTTGGTAAAGCTGCCTGCTCTGCCCTCTCCTGCTAATCCACAGCACCTTACTGCTGAAAGCTGTGATAAGTCCTGTGGTAGCAAGGCCCTTTGGGCTCATTTAATCTGATGTTGGCCTGAATGTATCTGAACATGGAATACCCTCACCCAATTTTTGGATGGTGGAGCATGTCTGTTAATATCCCATGTTTTCCATGGTACACCTATTTGGAAAATGATGATCTAGAGCAGAGGTCGGCAAATTTTTTCTGTAAGGGCCAGCTGGTAAATATGTTCGGTTCTGTGGGCGAACGCAGCTTCTGTCAAAACTACTCTGCCATTGTAGTGCAAAGCGACTGTAGACAATACATACACAAATGAGAATGGCTGTGTTCTAATAAAACTTTATTTACGAAAATAGGCAATGGGCAGAATTTGGCCTGTGGGCCATAGTTTGCCAACTTCTGGTCTAGACTGTGCTTTCCGCTAACCACTGGCCACATGGGGCAGTTTAAATTGAAATTAAGAATTCAGTTCCTCAGGGTGCATTAGCCACATTTCAGGTGCTCAGGGGTCACATGTGACTAGTGGCCACAGTATTGGGCTGCACAAATACGGAACATTTCCATCATCACAGAAAGTTCTACTGGACAAGGCTGGTCTAGAGCAGCACTGTCCAATAGAAGTATAATGAGAACTGCATTAAAGTCGAAAGAAAGGGGAAATTAAGTTTAATGATATATTTCACTTAAACCAGTATATCCAAAATATCATTTTTACATGTAATCAATATTTTAAAATTATTTTAATGAAAATTAAATAATTTATTGATTATTCTTTTCATCCTGAGTCTTCAAAAACTGGTGTATATTTTACACTTCCAACATATCTGAATTGGGACTAGCCACGTTTTAAGTGCTTGGGAGCCACATGGCCAGTGGCTGCTGTATGGGACAGCACACGTCTGGATCTCTAGCATACCTCATAACGGAGGAACAGGATTCCGCCGGTTATGCTATAATTAGTTACAGAAGTAGAACAAATTATCCAGTGAACACTCATACCTCCCTTCCATACTTTGAGAGAAGTCACATAGAGCTGTATTTGATGAGCTGTAACGTCCAGGTACAAACAGGTTTTCCTGGTAGCGGGCTTACTGCCACTCCTTCCTGAGTCACCTTCTGGGGGAGCTCGTTCCAGCAGCGTCGCCCGCTCCTCTCTTCTTTGCGGAGGCAGAGAAGGGTCAACATGCAGACGCCTGAGCTCTGGAACACAGGAGCAGCTCTGCCGCCTCCTCCGCCTCCTGAGAACACAAATCCTTTCCTCTGTTGCAGCCTCCCTTCCCTGCCCCAGTATGGCTGTCACTCACAGTGTGTTGCACCAAGAGGGTCACATCTAAGTATTTCACCACGTTTCTTCTCCTTTAGGATTAATAGCATCCATCGTTTTAGGTTTTTTCTCTATATATGTTAGAATCCATTGACTCACTTATTAAGCCTGGGCTGCTCTAAAGCTTTTGTCTTAAACGATGCACTTTTTCTCCCTTCTGAATATTTGTGTGTAATTGAACATGACCAGGACGTTTTAAAACAAGATATTCAGTGGTTTTCTCATACGGGATATACTACTGAAAGTCTATAAAGTCATAAATGATATGTTTAGACATGATCACCAAACCCTATAATACAAATAGCTAACATTCAAATGCTCTAATACACATTCTCTTATCTCTGTTTTATAGATGAGGAAGCTAAGGCCCAGAGAGGTTAAGCCACTTGCCCTTGGTCACACAGCAGGGAGTGGCAGGGCCGGGAATTAAACCCAGTCTGTCTGATTCCAGAGCCTATACTCTTTACTCCTTATTCTTTATAGTTGCCTCACATATTGGACACATTTTTGTATTCTAAGTACAATATGTGTTTCTTGAATTAATGGCACATGGGAACCTTCCCAAACTCACCCTGTTCCGTTTGTTATCTGGACCTCTTGTTTGCCCGTACACGTCTGCCTGCTAGCCCTGGTTTCTGTCTTTCCCTGTGTGCCTGTCCAGCTCACCGCTGCAGCGTGAGCTGTGTGTTGGCGGGGACTGTGCACTGACTCTCTCTCACCCTCCTCCCCTGCTGTGCCTAACACCAAGGTCTGCACAGAACGTGTGCCCTGTTAAACTTATAACTGGCAGTCCATTTGTAGAATTCGTCATCTGAGGGGCTTCAGTGCAGCAACTGCAAGTAAGCTAAGAAAGATTTTGATGACTTTGTGCTGGGGAAATAGATAATAGGAAATTGAGGGAAATGGAGTGTTTGGGGTGTGTGTGATCTTTTGAGACTGGCCTCCTGCGAGGCAGCCCCACATCCTCACTCCTGGTTGGTCAGGCTGAGTTACTTGGGGCTGTGGCTCAGGGTGGAATCCTTAGATTCCATTGAAAGCCCCAGAGAAGGAAGGCTCCTGCCCTTCCTGCCCCCATGGCGATGGCAGTCGTCCCCTTGGAAGTGGGAGGTGACCAGTGACAGTTTCGGTGGCATTCTCTTGTCGTGTGCTTTTCCTCTATCTAGGGAATTGTTTAGTCCTGATATAAACCTCTTTCCGACATGCAGAAAATAACTTGATTCTCTTTTAGAGAATTCTCTTTTGTCCATCTCAGCTCAGTGAGTTTAGCTGAGTTGGTCAGCCTCCTCTAGACAAGTGGTTAATGTAGGCACTGATATTTTGAGCATGTCTACCTTGTAAAATTTTCTTGTCCCAAAAAAGGTATACTTGAAAATAAAAGTTTATGATATAAATTCCAATAGTCTAAATCCCAGTAACCTATCTGCTCATTGCTATTCGAACACATTAGCTAAAAGAGATCATTTTCCTCCTGTAAGTTGTTCGCATTGTCTATTTTTTTTTTCGTCTTCATGGCCTCTGTTTTTTTAAATAACAACTTTATTGAAGTATAATTCACATATCATACATTTCACTCATTTAAAGTATACAATTCGCTGGTTTTTAGTACATTCACAGAGTTGTGCAACCGTCACCACTATCTAATTCCAGAACATTTTAATTACTGCAAAAAGAAACTCCATCTCCATTAACAGTCACACTTCTTTCCCCCTCCCAAAGCCCCTGGCAACAACTTTCTGTCCCTTTGTATATGCCTGTTCCAGGCATTTTGCATAAATGGAATCCTACAATATGTGGTCTTTCATGACGGGCTTCTTTCACTTTGCATAATATGTTCATCCATGTTGTAGCATGAATCAGTTCTTCCTTCCTTTTTATGGCTGAATAATATCCCATCATATGGGTAGACCATGGATAGGTAGATTTGGGTTATTTCTACTTTTTGGCTATTATGTGTAGTGCTGCTATGAACATTTAGGTACAGGTTTTTGTGCGGACATGTGTTTTCATTTCTCTTGGATTTATTCCTAGAAGAGAATTTCTGGGTTGTGTGGTAACTCTATGCTTCACTTTTTGAAGAACTGCCAAACTTTTCCAAAGCAGCTGCACCATCTTCCATTCCCACCAGTATCATACGAGGATTCCAGATTCTTCGAATTCTCGCCAACGCTTGTTATCTTTTGTATTATAGCGTCTTAATGGATATGAAGTGGTATCTCACCGTCATTTTGATTCGCAGTTCCCTGGTGGCTGCTGATGTTAGTCGTCTCTTTGTGGACTATTAACCATTTGTGTATCTTTCTTTGGAGAAATTTCTATTTAGATTCTTCCCATTTTTTAATTGAGTTGTCTTTTATTGTTGAGTTGTATGAGTTGTTTATATGTTTTGAATAGAAGTCCCTTATCAGATACATAATTTTCAAATATTTCCTCTGATTCTGTGGGTTGTTTTTTCACTTACTTGATGGTGTCTTTTGAAGCACAAAAGTTTTAAATTTTAATTGTGATTTTGGTGTCATATCTAAGAAATTATTGCCTAACCCAAGGTCACAAAGATTTACTCCTGTGTTTTCTTCTAAAACTTTTATACTTTCACTTATAAAACTAGCACTTAGGTCTGTGATCCATTTTGAGTTAATTTTTACATATGGTGTGAGGTAGGTGTCATTATCTTATTTTAATGTTTATCTCTTTTTCTGATTCTGAAAGTAATATATGTTTATTGTAAAAAAAAAAAAAAAACCTGGGTAAAGCAGAAGAGTATAAGGAAGAAACAATGTTTCTCACGATTCTACAACCCAGACTTACACTGTTAACATTTTTAAATCAATTTTCCTGGTCTTTTTTTTTTTTTTCATTTATATATATTTGTGTGTTGATATATACATATTTAAATATTAAAATCATAACATATGTATTTTAAATTGCTTAATTGAAGTGTGAGTTATTGGTGAATTATCGCATAGTAAACACATCCGTGTAGCACCACCCCAGTTGAGAAATAGTCAGAATTCCAGAAGCCCCTTTTCTCCTCCCCCCAGTAACTATCCCCTCCCTCCTCTTCTGCGTTTTTTTAAAGTTTATTATAGTGTGAGCATTTTCTCATGTCAGTAAAACTTCAAAACTGATCTTTCCTAGCTGTGTCATGAGACTGTACTGCCATTACCTAGTGGATGTCTCCATTTTCAGCCTTCAGTTTTCCCAGAAGTCCTGTGAAGCATAATTTCAGGGGATTTGGGGGCGTTGGTAGGGTTGTTCTCTTGTTCCAGGTTCATGTGCAGACCTGTCTGAATCAGGTGATCTGTCTGTGTCTAGCCCTGTGATTGCTGCACAATTTTCAGACAATCTGATTCGGCCATTCCTCGTCCACATCATGTCCGTGCCTGCTCTTGTGACTCATCTCAGCACAGTGACCCCTGAGGTAAGTGGGCTCTGTGCATTCCCCCCAATTCCATTTTTGCCTTCCTACTTAGAAATTAGAAAGTAAAACATTTTCTCTGTTCATTTCCGCCTCTTCTGATATTTCTTCCAAATCAGTAGCCGCTGTAGACACTCATGTTAGTAGCAAAAAGAAGCAGGTTCTCATCTTCGTTAATTTTCTTCTTGGTGAGCAATAGCACACTTGGCAACTAGGAGGCGGTCTCCAGGTGGTCAGGTTCATGCTCTAGAGGGAATTCTTCCTGTCAGCTTCCACTTTAACTCTCTACAACTGTTTGCAGCGCCTCACTGTTTTAGAATCTCATGACATGCTTCGTAAATTCATCACCTTTTTAAGAGACGAAGATCGATGCCGTGATGTATGTGAAAGTTTAGAAGGGTGCCATACGCTTTGTCTAATGGGTGAGTACCTGGCTGGAATTTGATTGTATTTTGGGCATCAAGAAAAGCCCAAGTGCTTTGCCTTTCACCCTACTGGAGATCACAGCTGTTTTTAATAACAATTGGAAGAGCTTACGGTAAAAGACATGTGATCAAATAGTTAAAATAGACATGTAAAATTGAAAATCACGTGGAAAATATATCAACCTGACAAACTGATTGAGTGACTGTAAATGAATGTTAAATTTCAACCCTTAGCTTCCTGGCAGCCAAGGAAAAATGAAAATGTGATGAGTTGCCTAGATAACTCTTATCTCCAGGGAGCAGGGAGGGCGCAGTCAGGTGGGGCTTAGATCAGACCAGGGCCTGCATTATCTGTTTCACAGTGTTTTCATTGTAGACAAAGAAAGGGTTTATGGATAGAAGCATTTGAAAACAGCAGAGGTACATAATTCTTATTGCCTAACTAGAAGAAATTTATTTTACATAGAAAAAGGTTCTTAGGGCTAAATTTTAAGGGAGTTTATAGCAAGAGTCCTCACACAAGGCATATTAAACAACTTGGGTGAACACTGAAGAACAGTGATTTCCCAGGGCATTCAGATATTCTTCAAAAGGTCATTTGTTAGTTGACCCTTGATTTGAAAATCTTAGTGTAGTATTAAGGTGTTGTACTAACTAAATATCACATATCTCTGTGTGCCTGACATTTTGCATGTTATTTCATATAATCCTCACATCAGAAGTGGGGATCATTAGTCCAGTCTTACAGAAGAGCAAACGGATTTGAGAGGTGGGTTGAGGGTCACACAGCTCGTCTGTGACAGAGCCAGGATTTGAAGCCAGGTCAGCCTGTTTCTTAGCCTGCACCCCGCTGTAGCCCCAGCACTGGCAGGGGCCTCTACATGGAATTTCTTCCCGCATGTGGATGTGGCTGCCTGAGCCTCAGGCAGAGAGCAGGGCTGGGAGGTGATGAAGCGTGTCCGTCTGAGCCCATTGCCCTCAGCCTTCTGTCTTTGTAGGCAACCTCCTGCACTTGGGCTCCCTCAGCCCCCGAGTGTTAGAGGAGGAGACAGACGGGTTTGTGAGTTTGCTCACCCAGATGCTGTGCTACTGTCAGAAGTACGTGTCTCAGAAGAAATCCAACCTGACCCACTGGCACCCTGTCCTTGGCTGGTTCTCCCAGTCTGTGGACTACGGGTGAGTCTGGAGGCAGAGCGCTGTCTCTGCTGCCTCCTCCTGCCTCTCCCTCCACCTGCCTTCTTCCTGCTTTCTCCCTTCCAGCTTCTGTGGCTTTGTTTCTTATTACAAAAGTAATATATACTCATTGTATAAAATATACTTAAGAGCAAAAGAGAATAAAAACCATCCCATAATGCTACTAACCCAAAGACAGCCTGGGTGAACATCCTTTCAGTCTTTTTCCTATCTATGAATATCAACAGTTTTTTCACAAAAATGGCATCATATTATCTTATATTTCATTCTTTTCATTTAGTATATTATGAACCTTATCTATCAATATTATCTTTTCTTCTTCA